TAATAATAATAATAATAATAATAATAGCAACAGCAATAACAATAATAATAACACTACGGTTCCTTTATGAACTCAAACTGACTTTTACCACCAAACCATACCAACGATTCCTCAGTGACCAAAAACTGCCCGGCCCAAGCTTACCATGCACCATCTTTATTATAAATTCTCTTTCTGGATCCATACTTTTTGATCTTATGCTAAAAAAAAGAAATTTCTAGTAGTCCCCGCCTATCTGTTCCCTGGACGTTTGCTGTCTGCGGTCAGTCTGCAGTCAGTCTGCAGTCTCCGTCTACTGAATGTTTTATGGTGTTTACGCACGGTGTTGTTGGATCTCCCGAGTTTTTGGCCCTAGTCAGTACCCACAGATATTTATTGCACTGACGTGGGAGGTCCAGCCATTTAACCTGTTATGCAGGATGGCCACCTATCCGATATGTCGGTTCAGAGAACTCGGACTGGTTCAGCGGTTCTATTTGCACACAGACTGCACACAAGTTCTATTTTGTACACTTTGTCTGAAAATGGTGAAATGGTATGAGTTTTACGCCCCCTATCAACACAATTAGGTTATTTAAGGCACTTTGTCTGATGGCAGCGACCGCTCTGTCTACATTTTAAAATAAACTAGATGTCGTGCCTGCTCGACTACGTTGGACCCCAATTGATAAATCAGTGAGAATTTTTACTTAGCTTGTTTGGTTGAGGTTTTTTTTGTTGTTTTTAAAAATCTTATTTTGCTCATATCTCCCGTATCTCTGTCTGTCCTCACTGTTTCACATGTCTGTACCTGTTTGACTCCGTCGGGTCTGAATATGTAATTCCTGGATATTTCATTTATACTCGTATCAAGGACTACTTGACTCGTATATATGTCAGTTTGTCACGTCTACTGCATTTATCTTGTATACGCTGTTCTTTTTTTTTTTGGCATTTACTTTGAATTGCACAATGTTTCAAACTTGGAACTCTTGAAGCCCTGCCCTTAAATGACGTACTCGTGCCAACGAGAGCGTAAAACATTCTGCCAAATTTCAGAATGGAGTTGGAGGGTACGATGGAGGACTTCAGAACTGATGTCAGAAGACAAAATCTCAAACCTTTGTTTCGCTGCTTCCATCGTCATAATTTGTCCTCACATAACGTCCAGCTAGTTGTACGGGTAGATTAGCCACTCGATACCTCTGAACCGGTCCGATTTTTCTGAACCTACATATCGGATAGGTGGCCATCCTGCATTAGTGAGATGGAAGGATTTTTTTGGGTGCTTTCTGCTCAGATTTATGAACCAAATCCTCGTCCAATTAGGCTGGGGAACATAGTGAGGGGAGGGTGTCGTTCCGTTCCTTCCTTCCTGGAATGTGTACGTTTCGGGTAAAGTTCCGATTCTGGTGAACCTTCCATTGTGAACTTTGTTGACCTTCCACCCACACTCTGGGTCTTTGCTCTCTGTGGGGCCACATATTAATTGGGTCACTACGACTTTTTGCCTTTTAGATGATGATTTATTTTAGCAAATGGGGGGGGGG